TCTCTCTCTCTCTCTCTCTCTCTCTCTCTCTCTCTCTCTCTCTCTCTCTCTCTCTCTCTCTCTCTCTCTCTCTCTCTCTCTCTCTCCTTTCCCCTTTTCTCTCTCTATCTCTCCGAACATTTGGCCTGATCTTCAGAAGCGGTCCACTTTTAGCTCCGATCAGTCGTAATCGAAGAGTTTCATTGCGTAGCAATTCCAGCGCTGGCGAGATTACCATTCGCGATAGGAGTGTAACACTGCGAGTTAGTTTAACGTTGACACAAGTGCTGGATGGGGGACGGTGGGCAGCGTGGCAGTTACGGGAAGTGTTACAATTGCGGGTTGCAAGGGCACTATGCCCGGTGGTGCCCCTACCCGCCTAGAAATAACGGGTATGGACCATACGGGAATGCGAATTTGACCCAGGATAGTGGTTTCGTGCAGGGACGGCCGATTTACAACCCCGCTCATGCACCATCTGCCCCTCCACTCTCATCTGCCCCGTCGGCAACATCACTCCCACTCCCTCCTCTCCCCCCTCCTATTCCTCCACCTCTGCAGGCTCAAGCTGCTCAACCGCCACTACTTCAAGCTCCGGGCTCATCATCCTCGAATACGGAGACATCAGCTTCCTCGATGGCGATAGTTCCGTACGAGCAGCCACGTGCTCCGTACGGCGGGACGAATGTGAGAGGATGGAACAGAACGCGGGATCCAGGGCCTGATGGGGAAGCAATGATGATCCTCAGGGAGATTTGGAATGACCGGCAAGAAGAAAGAGAACGTCGACGAGAGGAGGAAGAGCGACGAAATCGGGAAGAGCAGGCGAGGCTTGCTCGGGAAGAAGAAGAAAGACGTGCCTTAGCCGAGGAGAAGAAGGAAGCTGAACGTGAAGCAAGGATCGCACGATTCGTTAGAGAGCAGATGAAAGAAATGGAGGCAAAGAAGAAGAACGCCTCTGAAGAACGTAGCAACAAGATTTGGGAAAAAGTGGAGAAATTGGGAAAGCCCCCCAGTGAAGCGGAGGGTAGTAAGAACGGCGAAGGAAATGATAACCGGGAAAGAGACCAAGTGGCTATGGCCGACGGTAAATTGGCACCTCCAGAGCTGGCAGTTGGTAGGCAGCGGGTTGAGAATACAGTCACTCCTTTCGACTCTGGCCTGTTACGGATGGATCAGGACAACGTGCGGAAGGCTCAGGACGCTCACTCTCTTCTTTTCCAAGAAATGTTGAATTGTTTAAAGACAATTAAAGAGCAAGGCGCTGATCTTCTTACCTTGCCTCCTCCCGCACAAAATCCTAATCACCCTCAACCTCCACCCCCTCCCCCTCCTCCTCCTCCACCTGTCCCTGCTAACGCCGCTCCTCAACCCCCTGCCCCCACCCAGCCCACTGCCCCCGCTTACGAACCCCCCGCGCATCCCGCCATGGCCCAACAGGACCCCCCAGCCCACTCTTCCATTCCCACTCCCTCCTCTCCTGCAACACTCTTCTCTTCCCCTCCTCCTCCCCCTCCCCCTCCTCCACCTCCTCCACCCCCTCCACCACAATCCCATATCTCACGGAGAGCAGGTGCAGCGACTGGGCCCGGACCATCAAGGACCAGGAACGAACCTCTGAGAACACCGACAGCGAATGGCTTTTCAATACGCTTGGCAGGCATGTTTGCCTCGGTCGCGGGGAGCGGCCTGAGGAGGAGATCGACCGGGGTTACGATAAACGAAGGGGCGAATGATGAAGGTGCCCCACGAGACCTGGGTTTTGACAGGATCGACCGTGGCAAGAAAGTCGCGGCCGCTGGTCCCGGAAAGGAGGGGAAGAAGAAATATATCGAGGATCTAACCGCATAGCTGATTATCAAGAGCAAGCACGAACTTGAGGAGCTATGCAAGAAGGACCGTATCAGATATGTCAACAAAAAGATCACCTCCGCAGTGATCGCAAGGCTGCGAGCTATTGATGCATATGGCGAGGAGGATGAAGAAGAACAATCCGAGGAGGAATCTCAAGAGGAAAATCCCTCCTGATGATCTGTACATCTGCCTGCCACCTGGAACCAACTCGAGCAAATAAGGAGACGAAGACGCAGCGTAGGATGGCAGGGTAGGGATGCAGCAAGGACCGACATCAGTATGCGGTTCTTGATCTTAACGCTGGCCTGTTACGGGCAGCTACCATGGGCTGAGAAGTTCGTGGATTATTGGGTATGCACTTTGAAGAACGGCATTGATGTGTGTGGGTGGGAAGGGCCGTGTGTTTATGTGTTGGCCTCCCCGTGGTTTAAGGCTACATATATTGGCTCCACCACCCGCCCGATCAAGGTTAGATGGGATGAGTACATTAGGAGATCATTACAATCTCGCGACAATAGGAGTCATAAGCTTAAGAGGTGGCTGCAGCGCAAGGGATGGTCCAGCTAGGTCGCCATCTCGATCGCATTCCCACCGGCTCAGGAAATTCGCGAAGTTGAGGCTAGTATGATAGCTAGATGGACGCCGACACTCAATTGTGTCAAAAAACGAAAGTCCTCCTGCAAACGCAAAGGACGGAGGGAACGAAGAGCCTATCTAAGAAGCAAAGGGTTGGAGACAGATATAGCAAAGGAGAAGGAGAGGTTTGTGTGTTGGGATACGTCTGATATCTCCTTACCTGTTCCGGAACCATGAGCTCCCTCCTCCCCCTCCTTCTCTGTTGTCAAGATTTTGGAGAAATTAGCTGATAATGGAACGGAGCACGTCAATCTGACGTGCACTACGGGGACCTGTTTTTTGGACTCGTAGGGAAAGATTCGTAGGATATTTGGCTGGTCCATCGTGGAGTACAGGGATAACAACAAATGTCTTCTGAGAGAGTTGAAGAATGAATTTATAAATGGCGGTGTTTTTCACATTATGAGATTGAGACGCAGAACGAATATGACCCGTTTCCGACATGATATGTTAGCAACCTTACTTCAGGTACCACGGACCAGATCTGGGGTTTGTAAATCCGGAGCACATAATCTAATCAAGCTATATAATTCAATCGACATGTTCCATCGAGATAGGTCTCGAACAATTCTGAAGGGAGTGGTTGGTAGGGCACTGACAACCGTATGTGGGTTTCAATGTCTAGCTCCTACCGTTGTGAAGATTACCTATGATGATCAGATCCGGAAGTTATCCATTGCCGAACTGGCCAAAACGGTCATCAGGAAACGAGTCTCCGACAATCTGCTTGCTGATTTCTTAGTGTCAAGAATGAGAATTGTGTGGACTAATAACAAGTCTGTTGCTGATGTGTTGCACAATCATAGACAGATGGCCAGGTTGCCTGCTGGCAATTGCTCTTACTTGGATGTTGACAGCTCTTTGCCCAGGAATGAAAACAGACATGTTGCTTTTAGGTTCTCAGAATTCTCAGAACTTCCCTCAATCCTGAGAAAAGCTAACAACGTTTTGCGACCGTCGAAATCTCAAACTGTTGGAAGATTGAAAAGGACCTTAATTGAGGGCCTATCTCACATTTCGAGCAAGGATGGATGGGTTGGTAGCTCGGGAATGATCGTCTCCTGTTTTTCTAGTGGAAAACAAGGGGACTCTGCTTATGAGGATATAGCCGTCCGATGGAAAGAAAGGCTAGGAAAGCTAGTGGTTACACCTATTGATCATAATAAAGGAGATATGTCTGTTGTTTGTCCATATACCATCAAGCGCTCGCCAAACTATACTGGGGTAACGAGGGTTTTGTGGTCGATAGTAGGACTGAACAGGAAGTTTTGGCCACCTGTTCGAAAGAATACAGTGGGATTCGAGGGGATAAGTTGGCTCCTTGGAACTGCCGCGGAATGTTGGGAATGGCGTACGGCATACCAAAACACAAAGACGTGGACAGATGGAGACCAATCGCTCCTTCTTTTTCTGAACCTAGTGTCCGAGCGTGCTGGTTCGTCTCAAAAGCAATAAACGGTCTCCTATGGCGGGTTCCTTACTTGCACCACTTTTATCTCAAGAGTACAGATCTCCTAAGGAAACGTATTGTGGACTTAAATGAGAAAGTTAGCAAGTGCCCAGACGGGATCCCGTGTCGGTCAGTTTCGACATCAAAGAGATGTTTACAAAACTGCCGCACGACGCAATTATGAATGCAGTTGAATGGATATGCAATTTCTTTACAGAGAAAGGACACAAGGCAATAAGGGTGAACAAAACAGGAAGAGGGGTTGCTCTGGGAAAGGGTTTTGGGGAACAGGGGTCGAAACGGGTAAGTTTCTCCGACATCATTAGTTTTGTCAAGTTCGATCTAGATCATACTTTTTCCAAGGCCTCCACACTAATCATCAAGCAAAAGATCGGTATTCCGATGGGAAAAACCTCCAGTCCAGCTCTAGCCTGTCTACTCTGTGCTTATTATGAATTTTCTTTCTTAAAGTCCCTAGGGAATGACTGTCGCCTAATTCAGGGTTTAAGACTGGTAGACGATGTTGCACTGTTTCTAGTGCTACAAGATAAGTCCAAGGTTTCTATTAAAAAGGTCAGCAATATCTACCATCGCTTTATCTCTTTGTATAATGAGAATCTGACATTAGTTCGAACCGACTCTCGAGATGGAAGTTGGGAGTTTTTGGGCTGTAGGGTTGATTGCAAAATGAATCCTCCTGCTGTTCGGTGTGAGGCGACCACAAAAAACCAGGAGTCCATCCGGACGGAAAAAGGTGCAATCTTTTTATCTACACAGGACTTTTTGTCATACGGACCGAAGAGCCAGAAGGTGGGACTGATTAAGTGTCATATGAACAGGGTACTGACCCACTCCTCAGACTCTAGAGGGGTGGGTCTGTTTTTGATTTCTTTGAAGAAGGAAACGAGACTCAAGGGGTTCCCTGGAAGGGTATTTCTTAAAGCAGCCGACAAATTTTCAAGGAAAAACCGAGACTGCTGGGGAGGATGGATACGGATATTATCAGAAGGGTTTTCAGAGGATGGTACAGGGAATTGGTGGCGGGACCGCCTCATAAGGAGCAACAACTGTGCTCTAAACGGACCAGGAACACTCGCCAAGAAAAACCACTGTGAAAGGCCAGGACTGCATATCACACTGTTATCTTGAAGATTTTCTCACTGAACCCTGACGGTAACGCCTCCTCAAGAAATGACAACGGATTCCTGTCGTAGCCCACCCACCCATGCAAGTAAGCATGCTTCTTCTTACACTGCGATCCAGCTACCTGCCAGTATCTGCTTCAACCTTCTCCGAACGAGAAATCACGCACGACGACTTTCAGATCTCTACGGTAACGTTTTCTCAAGAGATGACGACGCGTCACGACGGACTCTCGTCACAGACCACCCAACGCTGCAAATCGCATCTTTCTTTCTACACACGTTGCCCCAAACTGGCCTCGCTATCTGTCAGAACCTATCGCAGCCATCTCACTTCTCTGCGTGTTTTCTCTCCCAACCTTCACTGACCATGCTCCTTGCCAAATGTCTGCCGCCATTTTCTTCCCCCCTCCCTCATATCTGCTACCCATGACGTTTTCTTCCCTTTCTCCTAGCGCGACCACCTGCAATACCCACATCTCACGTCTGTTCCTACCACCCCGCTCAGATTCCTCCCCTCGTCTGAGTTTTTTCCCACCTTGAACCACTATGCGCCCAGATACACCCTCTCGAACATTCTTTAGTCATGCTTTGTTTTCCCACTCTCTCGCCTTCCCCCCTTCCCTCTTTTTTCCCCTCTCTCTCTCTCTCTCTCTCTCTCTCTCTCTCTCTCTCTCCCTCTCTCTCTCTCTCTCTCTCTCTCTCTCTCTCTCTCTCTCTCTCTCTTTTTTCTCTCTCTCTCTCTTCTCCCTCTCTCGGACATCAACGGGTTACTGGGTTATATGGACGGCTCCGAGTTATTTTTTGTGCTATATAAGGTCGGACAAGCTGTAGATAGGTAGCGCAATCTTTCTCCCCTGATGATGGCCGTGCTGGCAACGCGATATAAGAAAGGGGCCGTGCTGGGAACGGCGAAGCTGTTAGATAGGAATGTATCTGGCGAGGAAGTGAGGAACATGAAACAGGTCGTTTTTCTTTTTTGTTTCTTTTTTTCAGGTCCTTGTAGCGCCCTGCCAGCCAGGCAGGGCAGGGCGGATTCCACGCGAGGCAGCTAACTGCCTCGCTTAAGTACTGTAGCATCCTGTATCGGACCGCAATCACAGCATAAGGGATGTTTTTTTTTTTTTAATTTTATCTGCTGTTCGTGGATAGACGAGGGCCCTGACTGAACTGCATATGGCCCAGTTTTAACTGCAATTGAAACTCGGGCCCTGAATAAACTGCTAAAATGCAGTTTCGAATGCAATTAAAAAACTGTTTTCGTGACTGCGCCGAAGTTACCCCTATATATATATATACGTTTTGGTCCATTATTTTTTTTTCTAATATATCAAATTCTCAGCCGCCCCAACATGGCCTGCAGTTGGGATCCCGGCCGCAATCCGAGTTTGACCCTACAGTCATGACCGCGGGGGATTCATAGCCTGCAAGGCCGGCCTCCGTGCCTTTCGGGATAACACATGACTTGAGAGGGGGGAAAAACGAGAAACAGTCTCCTGCAAGGTCCCATTTAAAAAAAAAAAAAACGGTTGAATTTTTGTGCCCGCGCCGTAGAGAGAGAGAGAGAGAGAGCGGGCTATATTCGCATAGGAGAGGCGGCTTTATTCGCGGAGCTCCAAGGGTGGAAGGCGGGAGGAGGCAATCTCACAGCCTCTCTCCCTGTCTCTCTCTCGGAGGGTGGAGTGTGGGCGGCAGCAAACTAGCAGCCTCTCTCTCTCTCTCTCTCTCTCTCTCTCTCTCTCTCTCTCTCTCTNCTCTCTCTCTCTCTCTCTCTCTCTCTCCCTCTCTCTCTCTCTCTCTCTCTCTCTCTCTCTCTCCCCCCCCTTTTCTCTCTCTCTTGAGTGTCCTCCCA